TTTGTCATAAACGAGGCCATACTGCTCCTAATTGTTACTCATGGTATGATGCAAGTTCCAGTTCTGCTCCTCCAGTTATGGCATGTCAAATTTGTGGAAAGAAAGGCCATACTGCTCTCAACTGTTATCACAGAGGCAATTATGCATACCAAGGTGATCAACCAGCTTCTTCTCTGACTGCACTTACTGCCCAAGCTCAGCAGAATTTTGTATCTTCTTCACAGCCAAATTGGGTGTTAGATACAGGAGCTACTCACCATATGACTGCTGACCTTGATAATTTGACACTTGTGACACCTTTTGAGGGCAATGACAGGATTACAGTTGGCAATGGAGAGGGCCTTCATGTTGCTAACACTGGTTTGGGTTCTCTTTTAACCTCTTCTAAATCTTTAACTCTTCAAATGGTGTTGCATGTTCCACAGTTAGCAGCTAGTTTATTGTCAGTTTATAGACTATACAAGGATAATCATTGCTATGTTATACTTGATGAATTTGGTTTTTGGGTGCAGGACAAGGCAACCAAGAAAATCCTCATGAAAGGAAGGAGTAGTAGTAGTGGCTTGTATTACATTCCTCAGCAGCAGTTCTACAAATATTCTCAGCTAATAAATAATACACCTCAAGCTTTGTTGGGGCAACTTGTGAAGACATCTATCTGGCATCATAGACTTGGGCATCCCACCAATGAGGTTCAAGTCAAAATGCTTCAAGACTCTCAGATTTCTGTTTCTTTCGATAAATGTTCTTAGTTGTGCTCAGCTTGTATCAGGGGTAAGATGTCTAGACAACCCTTTCCTTCCAAGTGTAATAAGTCCAGTATTCCTTTCGACAAAGTGCATACTGATGTCTGGGGACCTTCACCTACTGTTTCTGTGGAACGTTACCGATATTATGTAATTTTCGTTGATGAATGCACAAGGTTTACTTGGATTTTCCCCTTGTTAATAAGTCTGATGTGTACACTGTGTTTGTGAAATTTCATGCTTTTGTTGTGAATCATTTCAAAGCAAGTATTAAGACTTTACAATCTGACGGAGGAGGAGAGTACATGAGTAAAGTGTTTAAGACCTTCTTGGATACCAATGGTATTTTGCATCTTGTTTCTTGTCCATATACACCTTAGCAGAATGGTCTTGCTGAGAGAAAAAATAGACATATTGTTGAAACTACTGTGACATTACTGAGTGCAGCTTTTTTACCTCAACAGTTCTGGTTTCATGCGTGTAGTCATGCAGTATTCTTGATAAATAGAATGCCTAGTCAGACTTTAGACATGATATCCCCATACATGAAGTTGTTTGGACAATCCCCTTCTTTAGGGTCTTTAAAGGTCTTTGGTTCTGCAGTCTTTCCTTATTTGAGACCCTATAATGTTAATAAGCTCCAAGCACGAAGTGATGAATGTGTATTTTTGGGATATTCAGTAGGTTACAAAGGAGTATTGTGTTTTCATATACCTACCAAAAGGTTATTGTTGTCTAGGCATGTCATTCATAATGAACATGTATTTCCTTTTAAGACGTCCCAATCCATACATAGTCCTCAATCTGTGTCTACTTCACCAACACAAAGAGAGTTACCCAGAGTTGTTTCGGTTGTATTGTCTCATGAATCTGAGCAACATGGGGTGAATGATGTTGTCAATAATCCAGACATGGAACTGCATTCTGTTTCTTCTCAGTCTTCTGGTACAGCATCAGGTTCAGGATTGTTACCATTACAAGCTACTACTCTACTTCCAACTCCTTCCTCTTCAAGGTTGCCTGTCCATAACCCTTCCCAAATTCAGGTATCTTCTAACTCTGCAGATCCTTCTCCAAATGCTTGTTCTACATCTGCCAATATGGTTGATATTTCATCTGTTTCTCCCAATGTTATGGCTGGTACTTCTTCAGTTTTTCTTCATGATGTAAATGATTCTGAGATTCATAATGATGTACCTGATGTGTCTTCTGAGCATAATATGGTTACAAGGTTAAAAAGTGGAGCTTTACAAAGGAAAGATTATTCTGGTTATTGTGCTTCTGTATCCATAACTCCAGGTTCTTCTTTATCATCTGGTGATGATATTATGTTTAGTGGTTTTACTGCTATACTGGATATTCCTGAGTCGTCAGAACCCACTCATTACAAGCAAGCTGTTGCTTCTGTGCACTGGCGTAATGCAATGCAGGAGGAATTTGAAGCTTTGCAGAAACAAGGTACTTGGGAATTAGTACCAGTTCCACAAAACAGAAATGTTATAGGCAGCAAGTGGGTGTACAAGCTTAAGAAGGATCAAGATGGAAAGGTGTCCCGATACAAGGCAAGGCTTGTAGCTCAAGGTTTTAGCCAAGAACATGGTCTGGACTATGAAGAAACATTTAGTCCAGTGGTCAGACACACAACAGTACGACTAGTCTTGTCACTTGCAGCAATGAACAAATGGGATTTAAGGCAATTAGATGTGAAGAATGCCTTTCTTCATGGAGAATTACAAGAAGAGGTGTTTATGAAACAACCTCAAGGGTTTCAAGACTCTCTACATCCTACTCATGTCTGCAAGTTACTTAAGTCTCTTTATGGCCTTAAACAGGCTCCCAGAGCATGGAATGCTAAGTTTACGAGCTATTTACCTACTCTGGGGTTTCAATCTTCTCATTCTGATCCTAGTCTGTTTGTGAAGATCAGTGGGTCTAATGTAGTGATCTTGCTATTGTATGTTGATGATATTATCATCACAGGGTCTTCTTCCAAGCTCATCCAGCAAGTCATTGATGATTTAGCTAGTGTGTTTGATATGAAGGACATGGGGAGGCTAACCTATTTTTTGGGTTTACAGATTGCCTACAGAGACAATGGAGGCATTTTCATTAATCAGTCTAAATATGTTACTGATCTTCTCAATAAGGCGGGTATGATGCATTGTAGACCCTGTTCAACTCCGAGCAAGCCACACACTCAGTTATTGAAGGATGAAGGACAACCAATGGCTGATCCAACAGTGTACAGAAGTATGGTTGGTGCATTGCAGTATCTGACCTTCACTAGGCCTGATATTGCCTATGCAGTCAATTATGCATGCCAATTTATGACAACTCCAACTGAAGAACATTTTTGTTTGATTAAAAGGATTCTTCGATATCTTAAAGGGACATTGCAGTGTGGATTGACTTATTCTGCTCAGGGCAAAATGGAACTACTTGCTTATAGTGATGCCGACTGGGCTGCTGATATAAATACCAGAAGGTCCACCACAGGCTACATTGTCTTTATGGGTTCAAATCCTGTATCCTGGCAGTCCAAGAAACAAGGAAGTGTGTCTCGCAGTTCTACTGAGGCAGAGTATAAGGCATTAGCTAATGCTGCTGCTGATGTAGCTTGGGTTAGATCCGTTCTCAGAGATCTGCATGTTTTTCTTCCATCTGCACCGTTGTTACATTGTGATAATCTTTCAACGTTAGCCTTATGCTCTAATCCAGTTTTTCATACTCGAATTAAACACTTGGATACTGACTTCCATTTTGTTCGCGAAAGGGTCCAAAAGGGAGATCTAGAGGTGCAATATATTCCTACAGAAGCTCAGGTTGCAGATATCTTGACCAAAGGTTTACACAGTCCTGTGTTTATTCATCATTGTACCAATCTCAGACTGGGATATCCCAGTTGAGATTGAGGGGGAGTATTAACCGAGTATTTGTGCATGGGTATTTTAGTCATAGGCTTGTATAAGTTAGCCAGGTGGTTAAGATGTTTAGCTAACTTAGTTATTAAGTTTTGACAGCTGTTAGTTTTGTTTGGTTAGTTATATATACTGAAATATGTAAGCAATTGTATTCAGTTAGATAATACAACAACATTTGCGAGATATTACTTTCTCTCTGCTATAATATTCATTGTTCCTGTTCTTGCTCTTCGATGGAGATTCATGGCTTAATCTGCCATAGTTATCATGGTATGTGTTATTGATTGATGTGATTGTGGAATGATGTTGGTTGTGATTGTTGTAATTATAATTAGACTCGTTGACTAATATGGCTAAAGATTTATGTTGCGTTTCGTCGAATGTTCCTCGTGATGTTGCATATCTGTTGTGTGGTATTACGTTGAGACATAGTCATTTATGTGATGATTATTCGAGTATAGCGAACGACGAACTACGTGTATTTGGTGACGTCACGTGTCGATCCTAGACATATGTCGGGATCGGGGCATGACAAGTATGCTACACTAGTGTGGGTTCAAGATATTAATACCACACTCATGAGTTTAAGATACCATTTTCATTAGTTTTCCTTTTTTATTATTGCTTTTGTTTTAAATTCATATAATTATTTAATGTAATAAAATAATAGTTTTACTTAGTATATTACATAAAAAGCAAAACTTTAAAAGATGTCAAATAACACACGGATTTTCAAATGTATCGGAAAAATAAACATGGATTGTCAAATTTAAGTTTAATATCTCGTTTGACATGCTCTTAAGCATATCTATTAGTGGTTAGCTATATTTGACACTTAGATCATCTCTAAAGAAAATCAAATTATAACAGTCAAATTGTAATTGATGTCTGATGTGACAATTTGAAGTCTTATGTCAAATTATGTATTTTTCCAACCCAATTGTGAAATGATATTTATTTTTATTAAAATAGAGTTTTAAATGATTATAATTATATTAAAAAACGTTGCAACAAAATTTTTATTAGTTGAAATGTTAGTGGAATAAGGGATCAACCATTAAAATCAATTAAAAATAAATTTGACATTTATGTCAAATTTGATTCCTAATCACAAAGCCTTCAGATCCAATTAGCAAACATCACTTTGGTTGAAAATATTTTTGATATAAAATATGCAGTGCCATTTCATCTAGGATTTTGACATCTCATTTGCCGGTGGCACACTGACTGCCGACTAATGGAGGGTATCTAGGTAATTTCAAAAAGAGCATCATTATCAGCATTGATATTTATGTATATTTCAAAAAGTGCATCATCGTCAGCATGGATATTTATGTATACATTCATGGCAGCTTCAACTTTACTCTTATTTGTGATTTGTTGCACTCTCTCACTCTATCCCTCACCTACAAGACAACACTCTGAGTCTATGCCTCAGCAGATATTCAGTTAATGAACCCGGTGGGGAATGAATGAATGAATTGCCTGATTGATAAGTGCTGGGGGTTTGACCAGGTTATATATTAATCCGACGAAATGTTAGAAGCCAGGTGGAGATGGAGGTGGGCATTTGCAGCAGCTCTGCTTTCTCTAGTGGTGGTTTGGAGGGCGGAGTCAGCCATAGGAGTGAACTGGGGGAGCGTGTCCTTCCACAAACTCAAGCCTTCCGCGGTGGTGGATCTCTTGAAAGACAACAAGATATCAAAGGTGAAGCTTTTCGATGCCGACCCAGATTCACTTCGGGCTCTCATGGGCAGCGGCATCCAGGTCATGGTTGGCATCCCCAATGAGATGTTGGCCGCCTTGAGCTCTTCCACCGATGCCTCTGATTTGTGGGTTCGCCAGAATGTGTCCAGATATATGGTTAAAAATGGTGCCGATATCAGGTGAGGCTGAGGCCCCTCCTCCTCCTCCTTTTCTTCTTCTCCCGGATTCTTCTTTCATTGTGCGTTTACTGCGATTGTTACTGAGAAACGGTAGGAGAATAAAAGGAAACAACTTTATAGTTGTGTAGCTTTCACTTGTTAATAAATGGGAAGTGATTTGTTTTTGCCACCCACCATCCCTTGATATTAATTGGTATTGATTTTTCAGCATAGTTTGTTCATTTTTAATCATGACCTAATATCATATTATATTCTCTTCCTTGTGAAGTGATGTGCTGACTGTGCTATGCTGTGCTGCCCTTTGAGATATAGGCCAGAAGAGATTGTAACAAAGCTTGTTGCTTTTTCTCTAATTTCCAAAAAGATAGTAGATACTGGCCTGTTAGTTTATTTATTTATTCATATTTTTCGAAGTTTTCCAACAAGATATACAATCTGAGATTAGAGATAAACCAGTTTGTTGCCAAAACTTTGTTTCTTTCACTTGATCATCATGCTAGCCAATGAATCAAATCTTCCCTCTGCGTCTGTTTATATATTAAGTTGTTTGCTTTCGCATCCATGTCGAAACTTGTTTCCTTGTGATCCATGACAGGTATATTGCAGTAGGAAATGAGCCCTTCCTTACAAGTTACTCGGGCCAGTTTCAGTCCTATGTCATGCCTGCACTGCTTAATCTACAACAGTCCTTGGCTAAAGTGAATCTTGCAAGCTACGTCAAGTTAGTCGTCCCTTGCAATGCCGATGCTTATGAGTCCTCCCTTCCTTCTCAAGGGGCATTTCGACCTGAACTCACTCAAATAATGACTCAACTTGTTTCGTTTCTCAACTCAAATGGTTCTCCTTTTGTAGTCAATATCTACCCATTTCTAAGTCTCTATGGAAGCTCAGATTTTCCTCAAGACTATGCATTCTTCGAGGGGACTAGTCATCCTGTTACAGATGGGTCGAATGTTTACTCCAATGCATTTGACGGAAACTTTGACACACTAGTCGCTGCCCTCAGCAAGCTTGGATATGGTGAGATGCCCATAATTATTGGGGAGGTGGGTTGGCCCACAGACGGAGCCATCAATGCAAATCTCACTGCTGCGAGGGCATTCAACCAAGGTCTCATAAATCATGTCCTAAGTAACAGAGGAACCCCTTTAAGACCTGGTGCCCCTCCCGTGGATGTATATATTTTCAGTCTGCATGATGAAGGGGCAAAGAGCACACTTCCAGGAAACTTTGAAAGGCACTGGGGGATCTTTTCCTTTGATGGCCAGGCTAAATATCCGTTGAACCTCGGTTTGGGCGGCAGAGGATTAAAAAATGCAAGGAATGTTGAGTATCTCCCGTCTAGGTGGTGTGTGGCAAAGCCATCAGGAGATTTGTCTGATGTGGTGAACCACATGAAACTCGCCTGTAGTGTTGCAGATTGCACCACACTCACCTATGGGGGGTCGTGCAACGGAATTGGAGCAAAGGGAAACATCTCGTATGCGTTCAACAGTTACTATCAGCTGCAAATGCAGAATGAACGGAGCTGTGATTTTGACGGGCTTGGTATGGTCACTTTCCTAGACCCTTCGGTTGGTGAGTGCAGGTTTCTTGTTGGCGTTACTGATACTTCGTCCAGGTCTAGATCTAGATCTAGATCTAGATCTAGTACTAGTTCTAGTTCTTGTCATCAACTGTACCGGAGGTGGATCATAGTGGGGATGTTGATTTCATGGGGGGTTTGGGTTTTTGTAATGTGAAAAGAGGTTTCACAAGTCGGTTTTTCAGGTCCCCTCTTCCGAAGCAGTGTAGGTGATTAAATACTAGTGTAGAGTATTCCCACATTTAGCAATAGAGTGGGGTGGGTCATCACTCTGAGTCTGTGACCCATGGGTGTCTAATTCAGGTATTATTATCGTGTAGGACATTTGTATTGAATTATCGTTGCTTAATTTTTAGTAAAGAAAATGAAGTTGAACATAATAATCACGTTATTGTAATCTTACATCGGAATGTCACTCTTTTTTCTCCGCATTACATTACATGCATCCTGCTCAATCAATCCTAGTGACAGCAAGTAGACACACACACACACACACACACACACACACACACACACGCTTGATTCAGTGAAGCAATCAAACAGCGGCCATCCAATGCCATTGACAATTTGAGAGACTATTGGAGATGAAGATGCTGGCTGATTAATCAAGGCGGCCAGATTGTGAACATGTAAGCAGTGCAATCTCCGAGGTGGAAGGGGGCGTCGGAAAGGATGCCGTGGGCTCTCAGCTCTCTTGTTGTGGTAGCCGGGATACTAATCATTGCATAACGGCGCGAATTGAGCAAGAAGCAGGCCAATCAGTTTCGAGTCTTCAGAAATGATGAATATACCATTTTTAGCCTCTTATACTCCCCTGTTTAATTATGGCCGTTAACTTCGTTTGATTTATTCAATTGAATGGTTAAAAATTAAAAAAGGAAAATAATGCATGCGTACCTTAAAAAAGTGTAAAAATCATTTTCCTGTATTACAAGCTCAAGGAAACCCCATCCAAGCTGTTTCGAGTAACTTTCATCATACTTTCCATTGCGAGATGCACCAAAGGAAACCCCCTCTTTAATTTATAAAACGTTATCATTTTCTTCTTTAACTTTCTTCTTCCATAAGAAAACAGTCACAAAAACCATCCCCCTTGCGCATAAAATGAATAAATTTAACAACGATGCACCAATTGCTTCTTCCTTTCTTTTTTGTTTTTTCCTTTTCTTTTATTTTCTTCATTTCATCAGGAAATCAGGCGAACCATCTCTCTCACTTGTATTCATATAAAACTCAGTCAATTATCCAGTGAACTTCATATTCATCAAGCACAAAATAGAAGAAAACTACTGCTGAGAACCGAATCGAAGTAGAGGCTATGAAAGGGATTTCCGCAGCATCTCAAATTCCATGTCATATACAAAATCCAACGACCATTAACAAGTACGACAACAAGGATGATTGTAGGTCCCGGTGTGCTGCCATGAAAAGTCCACAAAGCAAAATCCCTCCATATTAATGCCATTTGCATCTAGCAATCTGTACCAGTTTACATAAAACCCAACTAATCATTCCGCATACAAGGCAGGAAGACATGGCTATTTAAGCTTAAGATGAAAAATTAATATATCTTACTAGGAATTCTCAGGTAAAGAGTGTTCTTATGTTGCCCTTTTAAACCTCGTCAGCTCACTTAAAACATCTTTTAGTGGTTGGCTGAGCGTGCTTCTCTTAGCCTGGAAGGAGAACATATATGTATATAAACTAGCAGCTTGAAGTGATTTGGAAAGCAAAGATAGTATAGAATTAGTCAAGGCAACGTTGGCAACCCCAAATAGCTTCGGGAAAGCATTCTTGAAACACAAATACAGATAAACAGTCTGGTAGGCAGAAAACCAAGAAGTCAATTTTCAGTAGCTTAACAGTTCCATTGGGAACCTAATAGTTCCAACACTATAAAATGAAGCCAGAAAGAAACTCACATTCGTGGAAATTAAAAAATCAAAGAGATCAGCAAAAGGGGATTTAAGAGTCCCTTAGCAGTTCCATTGGGAACCCAATAGTTCCAACACTATAAAATGCAGCCAGAAAGAAACTCGCATTTGTGGAAATGAAAAAATCAAAGAGATCAGCAAAAGGGGATTTAAGAGTCCCAGCCCTCATGGATCAGAAAATAATATCATTCGCGTAAGAGAAATTGGAGCATTGGTCCCCAAATTTAGTCAAATGGCAGCTTTGGTTCACGAATTAAAAATCCGTGAGTGTTGATCCATGAACTTATCACAATGTGGAGCAATGGTCCTTTTGGGTAATACCGTTAGAACTTCCATCCTTTATTTCCCCCTTTAAACCTTTTATGTTGGATGAAAGTTCAAATAGAGTTCCCCAAAAGGACCATCGCTCCATAGTGTGAGAAGTTCAAGGGCCAATACTCACAGATTTTAGTTTAGGGACCAAAACTCCAATTGGGAAAAAGTCCAAGGATCAATGCTCCAATATTCTCTTTCCACAATGGCATGTTTACTTGCATGGAATGGGTATGGAATTATTCCCAATCTTGATCCCGGTGTTTACTAAAACATGGGTTTTGGAACTATTCCAATTCCAAAATTCCCGTGTGTTAGTAACACACATGGAATAAAAAAGAGAATGGGTCCCACCATACAATCTATAATCCAATGCCTGAAAAATCAGAACAGATCGATTAGGAGGGGCCAGTTGACCCCATGCCCATCCATTCTTTCCCTTCCCCGATTCATGACTTTCTCCATTCAAAGTGAGTAACATGCAAATAGATTGGAGATTATCAATTTTAGAATTGTAATTAATCCAAGGAGTGAATACCACATATTCCTCTGACAAAATCCAAAACAGAATTGAGTTATCCCCGACTGGAACTAAAATTGAAATAGAAAAGAAAATCTTGTATGTTTAAACTACAATTTCTAACTAGATCCTTCAATTTCGCCCAAAACAGAAAAATGCATAGGTTTAATTATGAACCATATCATACCTTCAAGGATGGTACTAAAGCAAAAACTTCATCAGTGGTTTCTGGACAAACATTGGCAATCACACATATCTGTGGCAAAAAATTAAAATCAGAGACCAGTCCTTAAATTTTAAGAACTAATACCGAAGATTGAGATTGTAACCTCTCCATCTTTGACACCATATTTTTTTAGAGTCCTGATATTCAAGTTAAGGGTTCAAACACAGAGAAAGCATTTATATACGCACACATATAAACACCAAGGAACAAATCAAGCATACTCAAACATGCACACACACACCCACCCAAGCGGAGCACATCAAGGATACTCAAGAACGTGTCTCCCAGATTGGGGATGTGTATAACGGCTGGTGCTGTTGGCATACTGCAGTCCCTTGTCGAATGATCTGAAAACAAAACCATTTAGGACACTTCATATACAGAAAATTAACATCAACTGCTATAATAAACCATTTTCTCAATCACCATTCTTTCTTTCAGATGATAGAACTTGATTCTTACACAGGGATTTTAATAGTAGGATCTTTAGACAACATGACCATCTGCTCCTGGATGCCTTGTAATATATCGGCAGCTTCACAATCCATCATACATTTGACACTCTTCGGAAGTTCTGCATGAAACAACAAAACTGACAATATTACAGTGCTTAACTAAAAAGATTATTTTAAATTTCTGAGCTTCTCTCTTAGCTTAAGTATTTGATATACAAAATATCAAACACATGACACTTAGTGCTGAGATGCTAAAGTAGTCACTGTATATTTTTAGGAAGTAAACATCGCATGTTTATAACAGAAAAATGCTCATATGGCCAATAAAAGTGCTCACCCTGCTCAATTTTGAGCTCCAGTGGCTGTGGTTCTTTCTTTTTAGCATTTGCGACCGTGTCTCCTTTTCCCCCCTTGCCCCAATCAGCTTAAAAAAAATCACAGTTTGCAAAGGAAAGAGAGAAATAAAATGAAATTCAGATAATTGACTTCAGATATACAAGTGATGAAACTGGAAATTCAGAATAATTCGGAATTTCAAATAATATTAAACCTTTCCCTGAAGCAGCAGCTGGGCGATAAAATTTTGACGAAAAGTTTGATTTGGGTTCCCGGGAACCTATACATGCATGAGTCACGACACACAAGAACCAGTGACTGTAATATGAGACTAAGTTGAATAGGAAAAAATAGAGATTAGAGAAACTGTACCTTCAGAATCGAACTGAACTCGTCTTCCCTTCTTGGACTTTGTCGAGCTATCATCCTTACCTACACAAACAGATGGGGTGCGATTACCTCATTTCTTTTACAAACAAAAAACACCCAAATACAAAAATGTCAACAAAGTCAAGAAAAAGCAAACCATCTTTTGAGCTGGGAGGGGTAGATTTCAGCGAAGGTTTAGGCAAAGAAAACCCCTTTCCTCCTTTCTCCGACATCTCCACCACTGGATGTTGCAAATTAACACCCTTTTCACACTACAGTAGTATTCACTCTGTTAAATTAAAACCTCACAGGGTTAAAAATTAAAAATTAAATGAAGAGCAAGAGAGAGAGAGAGAGAAAGAACCCTAATCCAATCCAACCAAAAAGGAAAACCCACATTTCAAACAGAATCCCTGGAAGTGTACCACCAGGGAGGGAGGGAGGAAGGGAGGAGCGAGCGGAGGAAGTCACCGGCGGGAAGGGGAAGACCCGGAAGTGGTTTCAGAAGTGCTAAAACTCTTTAATCCGGGGGTTTGAATTGTTGACTGATTTGTCTACTTCGCTGGCTATATGTTTGGGCCATTTCCAATAGAAGAAGGGCCAAAGGGCTCTTTTAGCCCTATAGTCTTATAAAAAATTAATATTTTAATAAATAATGTCATGTTATATTTTATACAATTTGTAATTGAAAGGGTCAAAAGATCATACATCAAATATAGCCATTTAATAAAAAAAATTATCTTCTTCATAGGCCAAACATAATTTATTATTTTATGGTTACTTAAATTAAACTATCATATTAAATTTAAAAATTACAACTTAAACTTAAAACTACAACTTCAATTTAAAGACTACAACAAATTAAATTTAAAAACTACAACTTAAATATTAAGGAATACAACAATTTCAATTTAAAGACTATAATTATCATCTTCATCCGTCATTGTAGAAGTATAGTCGGATGTAAATTACTCTCATCGGGCCATAATTTCCCTGTTTTTCCTATCAAAATATGTTTTATTCATTGGAGTGTAATCCGAATTGTTCCTTTACATGTTCTTATCATCCATGTCTTATTGTATTTGTTTTGCCCGTTCTTCGAGCCTACAATTCCTTTCTTCAGCGACAAGGGCATTTTGCTCCACCATTAATCGCAATGAGGCCACCATATCCTATTGAAGGGCTAAATCATCCATTGCCTTGCCATTTTCCTTCAATTTTCGGGCCTTGTTTCGTCTCATATCCCTAGGTATGGAAGATTCACCTAGAGAAGGATTTTCTACCCTTGTTTCTTGAATGATAGGAGATCCTTGTTCATCCCCAACTGCATTTGAGGAAACATTTCCGAACACCAACGTAGGACCAAATATTTTTTGAGGTGGATCTTGAAATAACACCCACCCTTTACAAATTTCCCAACAACCGTGATGACTAAAAGGTTTCGAGTTGTCCTCCATATACAATGCTTCCACTTGGCGTACCTAAAACATATAATTACAAAAATTAAAGAAAATTAATTTATGAAATTAAATGTAATATAATTAAATATTTAAAATAAGTTATGAAAACACTTACTTTGTCGTAATAATTGGCTCCATTTTCATGTTTGCTTCAGGCTTTTACCACTGCTTGATGCCATTTATTCAAACTTAGATAAAGATGTTTTTTCCATCTTGAAGAATAACTCTCGTAGTTTCGAGGATTCGGTGGAGTGGTGCCTTCGTAGAACTCATACTACTTTTTGGACATACGAGTCCAAACACCTTCACTTGTTTGAAAACTCCTCTTGACACTATCTTCCGAGACCCATCTATAAGCCTTGCAAAGAACTTCATCTTCTTTTTGGGTCCAAGCCCTTCCTTTCATTGCAGATGTGGCTATTTGAAAATTATTGAAAAAAATTTGAAGGAAAGACTATTGGAATAGATAAGAGAACAAAATGTGAAGAATTAAAATAAAATGAGGTAAAATGGTATGGAATGGTGAAAATTATGTGGAAAATGGTGTAGGAATGACTTAGGTATTTATAGGAAAAAAAATTAGAATTTTTTTTTTTTAAATTCGTCCGAAAAAAACAAAATTCAAATGCAACGGTCCTAGTGTCAGCAAGCCGTTGCTACCTAGCGTCATGTTGACGCTAGGTTACCATTGGAATTCAAATGTTAGGGTGGGACAAAGGTTGGCTGGCTGGATGAGGCCAGCTCACTGACATGATTTCACATTTTTGGCTCGATGGGGCCTTGATAGGATTAAATGCACACCACAAAGTAGCACACAAATGTCCTATTAATTTTCCTTATTAACAATAATATTTGTCAATTGTAGCATATGAAAATAAGGGTCTTTCCCGCAGAAGATTGTTTTATCTAACTACTTAAAATGTCACAAAAACTGGGCTGCTGTCCCTACTGACCAGGCACCGAAAAATAATTATTAGACTGACTTACACTTATCTAAAGTCTACGAAATTTAATATGCAGATACTAGACACACAGAGCTACACTCACACAAATTTTTGAGATTTTTGGAGTTGATTTGCTATTTAAATTAAATCGAACAAAAACATAACAGAGACAGATTTTTGAGTAGTTCGCAAATTAAGAAAAACGAGTTAGGGGAATTGCTATCCACCACCAAATAATCATGCAAACATGTTATGTTTCATTCAAATTCCTTTCATTTTTGGATGAAGATGCTCAAGTTGGCTCAATATTAGAACTCAACCTATTACTCTTTCTTATGTAGTATGTTAAGAGAATGATGTTTTCAACTTAACTTAGTCCCTAACATGCAATCTCGAATGGTGTGTTCATAGATTTAACAAGTAGAAATCATTAAGAACGAAAAGAGTTTGAGTCATCACAAGGCATCGTAAGTACTAGCGTTGTCTTACTTATCCTGGAAATTGATTCACATGTTAATTGCAATTAACAAGTACTACTCTAGAACATATGTAGGTCCTCATTCGACAAGGGCAGACACACACATATTCATAGCATTAGAATCCTAGATATGCTTACTAAGTATGCATCCATAGAAAACACATAAAGAATTCATCGATGAGACAAGTAGTGAACCAATTTTCATCCATTCGTAAAAGTAATTCAAACGAAATGTCATAACAAGCTTGCAATCATGTTCGGGGCTTCAAAAAAGCCCCTAACTACTAAAAATTAGTTACACATAATTCTCAAATTAAACCAAAAGAAAGACATGAGTTTGAGAAGATAAAACCGAGAGAAGAGAATGCCAAGATTTCCTCCTTCCTTTCCTTCATTCCCCAACGCAGCAGCCTTGCCTTTTTTTCTTGCTTTCCTTCTTTTTTTTTCTATCTATTTTTTCACACCTTTTCTCCTCTTTTTTTCCTGCAACCTGTAGGTCTTTTCTCCTTTTCTGCTGCCACAGTTTTTTTCTCCATAACTCACCCCACTAACAGCCATTTAGTGATGACAATAAGTGGGAGGAAATGCTAAAACAATTGTAACTCTTTGGGTAGCCTTTATGCCCATTACTCTCACTTAATTTTTCATTTCCTCTGATATTTGAATAGGTGTTAGCTGGCTTGTTCTTGGCTGCATCAGTTTTGGCTGTTAGTTTTATGGGATTTATTGCTTTCAATGCTTTCTTATCAGTTACAAACTGCTCAGCCTCCTGGGAACCTTTCAGTGTTAGAACAGCCATAACTTTTTCTAGAAAAATGATATTAACAATCTGCAAAATGCTCCAGAAAATAGACATCCGTAGCTTTCCAAGCATATAAGGCTCATTCTCTAATTCATTCTGAGCTGTCCGCAAATTGCTTCCAAAGGCAGCTGACCTGCACAGGCAGTTTTGACGAATTTATTACTTAAAATTCCACTTGTGTTATTTTTCTTTTCTTTACTTGACAAATCCTACAAAACACAAAAAACAAAGTAAATAACTCAAAAATATAAGGAACTAACTAAGAAAAGACAAGTGAATTTGATATAAAAAATATATATAAATATGAGCTTATCAAATACCCCCACACTTAGCTTTTGCTAGTCCTCGAGCAAAACAAAGAAAACATGAAAAAGTAGCAACATGAAAAACATTAGCTCCCCACTATGTCACCCTCATAGAATTTCATTCAAGAAAACAAATCATCAAGAACCTTAGCTAGCACCAAGCAAGCTAATCCAAGCTCATCTTCCTTATTCAAATGTTAACAGCGACCTTTTAATCATCCTTGAAGTGTAGTGTGTGTAATAGCCATGCTAATGCAATTTCAAGTTTTGTTTTAAAACACCACATGCAAACTAGTGACCTTCTCACAGGACATCCACTCAATCACACATATGTTTAGTTTAACGTGTTTCGCTCAAAGAATCAAATGTGAAAGATCTACCATAAGCTTGCATAAAGATCTCATCTCCACAATCATAATTGCAAAACTAAAATCAAGAGGACTTTTATTGGTTGTAATGAGGCTTAGGGAGAGGGTTATAGAAATGAAAGGATAGGTAAACACAAGTTCCAAGCTACATTGCAAGCAATTCTCTTGTTGAGATTTATAAGAACTCAAGCTCTCCAACCACTCTACTACTACCTCCAATCACACCCCTAAACTTTTTATTTGCTTTGTATACAATTTTTTTTTTTTCTTCTTCTTCCTTTTTTTTTTTTTTTTTTTAAACCAATTTTCGCACATAACTAAATACAAACATGAAATACCCCCACACTTATTCTTTTGCCAAACTCCTTCAAAGTACTTCACAAACATTTCTCATAAGACAATCTCACATTGCTCACTAGCTAGCTTGGAAAGGGTAAGGAAAAATGTTTAAGGTATAAGGGCTGACATATCTGGTGATAAGAAATAAAAGGCTTAACATATACGGCTCAAATTGGCAATCTAATGATATCATTTTTCTTTAGGAAACATGCTTATTTGGGCCATGGTGATAAACCTAATGCCTTTATCCTTTTCAAGTTCATGCAATCAATGACAAACATTTCGAATAATCGTTACGCAAGTTCTAGATATGTAAGTCATATAAGTTCATCACACATGAAAGAATATGAGTGTATGAAAAATGCACACACTTTCAATAGGCTCAAAAACTCACATAGGTTGTATATGGTCACTATGTTCACATATGAAGCTTTAAATCATGCTTTAGTTTCACATCAACAAGGCTATGTGCTTTTGGTTTTTCAAAGATGATTAAACATGTACAAAGCTAACAAGAGAATAAGGAATTTCACACAATACATGCTTACTAAGTTCTTGATCACCGTGGTTCAAATTCAATTCAGTTATATCATTGGGTCGGGAAACTAACAAAAATCTAATTCAAAACAATAAAGAAAATAAGACTATTTTTGGATTTTTCATTTTTAGAATTTTCTCTTTTTTATTTTATTTTTATTTTTAGGGTAAACAAAACTAATTAAGAAAACAAAAAGCAACAACAAGGAAACAAATTAAACCAATTCTTAGTCAAAGGGATGAAAATTTTCAATTTGGTCATTTTTTCAATCCTTACCCCCAAACTTAAACTGGACATTGTCCCCAATGTCAGAAAACACAATAATGCATAAA